AGAACAGAGTGATGGTTGCCATAGGGGAGAGGGTGAGGGAATGGGTGAAACAGGTGAAGGGGAAAAAAAAGTAGTAAGAATATTTGACATCTTGATCTGGGTGATTGTCACATGAGTGTATACACAGGTGAAAAATTTTCAATCTGTACACCAAGTAAGATTTGTGAATTTTATTGTATGTACCTCAGTTTAAACACACACACACACACACACAGTGAGTCTGCTGGGGACTTTGTTCATCTTATTCACTCAGAAACCCAAGCTTCATTAAAATATATGTTTTTATGATTCCCATGGTAGTAGGAAGGAAATGGGACAAATCATGCACTGGTTCTTAAAGTTTCCTCTCAGAAGTTACACATCACTTCTGCTAAGATTTCAATGGCCAAAGCAAATTAGATGGCCATGCTCACCCCCAAAGAGGGAATGGGGATAAAGTTCTACCATGTACCTGAAAGGGAGAAAACTGGAAATATTAGATGACCCATACTAATGACAATCCATCCTGTACTCCAGCACTTTTTAGAAATGACTAGCAGAAAGAAAATACAACAAAGAGATAAAAATTCAGTAACAAACAAGAATACAAGATCAACACACAACTATCATTTGCATTAATATATATGAGCAATGGACAATGGAAAATGAAATTGAAAACACAGTAACATTTACAATTGCACCAAAGAAAATGAAATACATAGGTATGAATCTAACAAAAGCATGTACAGGATCTACATGCTAGAAACTACTAAGTACTGATGAATGAAATTAAGGAAGACCTAAATAAATGGAGAGACATACTGTGTTTGTGGACTGGAAAGATTCCACACATCAAAGTTGTCAATTCTCCCCAAACTGATCTATACGTTTAATGCAATTCCTATCCAAATATGAACAGTTTTTTTGTGAACATAGATAAGCTTATTCTAAAATTTATACAGAAAGGTACAGGACCTAGAATAGCTAAAATAATTTTGAAAAAGAAGAATAAAGTGGGAAGAGCCACTCTACTTGATATTAAGTATCTGTGTGCGTCTGTAAGACTATAATAATTAAGGCCATGTGTTGTTGATGGAGGAATAGACACATAGACCAATAGAACAGAATAAAGAAACCAGAAATAGACCCACACAAATATGCCCAATTAATGTCTGACTAAGTTATGAAAGCAATTCAGTGGAAAAAAGATAGATTTTTTTCCAACAAATGATGCTGGATATCATAAGCAAAAAAAGTCAACCTTGACCTAAACCTTATATAAAATTGACTCAGAATGGAACATAGATTTAAATGTAAAACTTAAAACTATAACACTTTTAGAACAAAAACATGGGATAAAATATTTGGGATCTAGGGCAAAGCAAAGAATTCTTAGCCTTAACATCAAAACATGATTCATAAAAGGAAAAATTAATAAATTGGACCTTATCAAGATTAAAAACTTTGGTTCTCTGAAAGCCTATGGGAAGAGGACCAAAAGACAAACTATAGACTGAGAGAAGATATTTGCAAACCACATAAGCAACAAAGGGCTACTATCTAGAATATATAGAGAACTCTCAAAACTCAACTCTAAGATAACATTCCAATTAAAAAATGTGCAAAGTATATAAAGAGACATTTCACTGAAGAGGACATACAGATGTCAAATCAATACATGAAAAGATGGGAGCTATCACTAGGTATTAGGGAACTGCAAATTAAAACCACAATGAGATATCACTAGATACCTGAAAGAACGACTAAAATTAAAAACAATAACAACAAATTCTGACAAGGATGCAGAGAAACTGGATCTCTCATGCATTGCTGGTGGGAATGAATATAAATAGTGCAGCTACTCTGAGAAAGCATATGGTGGCCCTTCTTACAAAACTAAACATGTAGTTACCATACAATCCAGGAACTGTTTGGGCACTTATCTCAGAGAAATGAGAACTTAGGTTCATGCAAAATCTGTAGACAAATGTTCATAGCAGCCTTATTTGTAACTGCCAAAATCTGGAATCACCCCAGGTTTCTTGCAATAGGGGTTAAATAAGCTGTAACACATCCATACCATGGAATACTACTCAACAATAAAAGGAACAAACTTTTGATACCTGGAACAACTTCAATGGATCTCCAGAGAATTACGTTGAGTGAAAAAAGCCAATCCCAAAGGATTACATACTGTATGATTCCATGTAATATTCTTAAATGACAAAATTATAGAAATGGAGAACAGTTTAGAGGTTGCTAGCAAGTAGGAAGAGGGGGAGAGAAGATGGGTGAGAATTATCAGAGTAATGCTGGGGATCCTTGTGGTGGTGGCACTATTTGGTATCTTGACTGCAGTGGTGGTCACATGGGCCTAACAGTGATAAAATTTCATAGAACTACACACACAGGCAAATGGATGCATGTAAAATTGGTGAAATTGGGATACGGTGGATGGATCATAGTGATGTAAATTTCCTGTTTGTGATATTGTACTACAGTTATGCATGATATTATCACTGAGGGTGAAGGATGTTCTGCATCTCTGAATTATTTCTTATAACTGCATGTAAATCTACAATTACAGTTGACCTGTGAGCAACAGTGGGGGTTAAGGGCAGTGCATTGAAAATCCATGTATAACTTTTGACTCCCCCAAAACTTAACTACTAATAGTTAATACTAATAGTTAATGCTAATACTATAATACTAATAGGTGATACTACTATTGACTGGAAGGTTTACCGATAACATAAACAGTTTATTAACACATGTTATGTTATGTGTATTATATACTGTATTCTAACAATAAAGTAAGCTAGAGAAAGGAAAACGTTTTTTTCAAATTGTTGTAAATCCCCCCAAAATTTCCCAATATACTTATTGAAAAAAATCTATGTATAAGTGGACCCATGCTGTTCAAACCCATGTTGTTCAAGGGTCAACAGTATCTCAAAATAAAAAGTTTTTAAAAAATGAATATGAGATGATCTATGCTCTAATCCCCAATTCATAAATTCAAAAAAATAAGGCATGAAGATAATCAACAGTTTATTTTCAATAAAACCTGGTAGAAAGTCTAGGTTAGGGCTCACCCAAATTGGAGGAGAAATCAAGACTGGAACTAATACAAGGACCACAAGGATTTCTACTAGTGAAGAACTGTTCAGGGAATTTCAGCAGCCCCCTATACAGTTGCCAAGTGTATAAGAGATCCTGAGCAAAAACTGCCCAGTTGAAAGGCACCATTTGATCATAATAAATTGTTTTAGTCTTTTAAGCCAATAGGTTTGGGGATGGTTTATTATGCTGTAATCAGAATATGACATCAAGCAAGGGGAGTGCATAGTTGTAGCCAAATAGAAGAGCTTTGAAATCTCAGTGAGTCTACTGATTTTAAATGCTCAGATCTGTGTTTGTCCCAGGCTGTTCCTTAAAACCCATTTTCCTGAATACTGTCTAAACATGTTGGGAGTGATGAGAGGCGTTGGGGAATGCAGATACAAAGGAAATTGAACCACCAGTCCTTGCCCTTGAAGAACTCAAATCTAGTGAGAAAAAAACATCAGTGCATTAAATGGCTTGAGAACAGTTATAAGGCAACAAGTCAGCAAGTTCAAACAAATATACTACAGCACAAATTGAATGCATGTGGCAAAGTATGGCTACCCAAGCAGCAGGACAGAGCTAGACATTTTGGGCCCCGAAGGCAACATTTCAGAAAGGGCCCCTTTGTTCACAGTGAAATCAATGTCTTCAGCAATGCAGGAACTGGTTGGAAGATATTAACACTTCTGAAAAAAGACAAAGGAGGTAAGTTCCAGAGACAGTGATTCTTGTTTTAATTTTCCTTTGTTCTCTGTTCCTGATAGGTGTGTTTCTGTGACAATTTCCCTGAGCATCAGTTTCCTCCTCTATAGACAGGAGATAACAACCAGAGAGTAGTGGGTCAGAAAGTCAGGAAATCGAATTTGAATCTCAAATCTATCATTTACCAGCTGTGTGTGACCTTGGATACATTACCTGCACCCTGTCCCCCCATCAATTTCTTCCTCTTCAGTGACTTGAAGAGGTTGAGCTGAGTAGTCCAGAAGATCCCCACCGACACTGACATAGAAGGCCGTAGTAGACAGTTTACAGTTTGTTGCGAGGGCTTAAAAGTAATGAGGTTTATGAGAGTACTCTGTATGCCATAAAGTGGTATATGGATGTTAGGAATATCAGTCGTACCCAGTTCCGGCCAAAAAAAGCCGTGCAGTTCTCCAAATTTAGTGGCTTAAAATGTAAATAGGCATTGTCTGTCAAGGCAGCGCCAGTGCTTTCGGGCCCTTAGAGGCTTCTGATGATCCTTTGTAACTATTATTCATCGAATAAACACAAATCTGGACTACGCTGTCTCAGACTCACCAAGGCATCAGCAGTGCTGTTTTGATTCCAAGGCTGGGTTCTTGGCCCAACTCGGAATCATAGGGACTGCTAGACCAGTGGTGGTGGCTCTGTGGGTCACTTCAAGTTTTCTTCAAGATCCTTAACAATAGAGACTGTCTCCATGGTGCTTGGGAACCCTCTTTGTGGGAGAAAGCTGATTTCTAAGTCGTCCCCTCTCCAGGCACACACGTGCGCGCGCAGAGACACACACGCATCTCCACCATGCCTTTAAGGACACCAACACTTTGTCACTTAACTAACTAGTTGCAATGTGGATTTGGGAAACTCCTCGAAATAAGTAGCTTGCTAGGGCATAATTTGCAAGGCCAGCTCATCCTGCGATCCGCGTGCACCAGCTCAGGACCCAACCAGGTGCACCCAGAGAGGCCTTGTGCCAGAGAAGAGGGGTTGCGTGCTTCCAGGCAGGGAAGTCGGGGGATCACCGGGGTCTTCAGCGAGGGCGCGAGGGGTGGGGAGCTTCTAGGTGCATCCAGCGCAGAGTGGGAGGAGGGGCCGGAGGAGATGTGCGGTCCCTTTAAGACCCCAACGCTCGCTTAGGCAGAGGAAGGGGGTGCAGTGGGGGCGCTGCGTGATGGGAAAGTCGCCGGCTGAGTCTCACACTTTCTCCGGATTTCTTAACTTTCGGGTCGGGGGAGCAGGAATAAAGCCGCCGAGCTAGGCGCGGAGGGGGTGCGGGCTCGCAGCGGCTGCGTGCTCGCAGACTTCCCGCCTGCGCCCAGCGGCCGGCCTCTGGGGCCAAGTGGGCAACGGGCGGCGGGCAGGCAGGTGGACCCGGGCCGCCGCGCCCGCGCCTTGGCTCTGCCCCCGGGAGCCGAGCGAGCCGCTGCTCCCTCGTGGTGTGAGGGCGGTGATGTTTTTCCTCCCACCCACTTTTGAGTTCCCCCTCCCCCCTCGCGCGCACTCTAGCTCTCGCCACAACCTGCGAGCCCCAGACCTCGGAGGAGCGTCCCGAGGAGCTCGGAGCGCGTGCATGCGTGGAAGACGGAGGAAGCCAGTGGCCAGGTCAGTGTGCAGTGCCCGGCGTCCACTTCCCCTAGCCTTCCTTTCCAGCCTTTGCACAGGTGGGGTATCTTCTGTTGATAGGAGCCGCCCCTGCAAGTTCCCCCAGGGCGCCCTGGACTCACCGGACCTGCAACCCCAACTCGCTGTCGGGTCCAGCTGCCGGCGTCCGGCTGGAGGTGGGGTCCAGGGCGCCCCACCAAGGCAGGTTGGGGACTTCGAATTCGAACTCACCACTTGCCACTCCCCGCCTGCCTGCATATCTCCATGCTCTGACGCTTCGGGGAGGCCACTGGGGTAAGCTACCTAACGGGTTCTATAGTCTCCTTATTGATTGCCTGTGTCCCCAGACTTTTTTCTCACTTGCTGAAGTGCCCTGGACCAATGGGTGATTAATTCGTGCTAAAGTTAATGAAACAGGAGGACAGGCGAGAGGCTCCTCTATCCCGGGGACATCTGCCTCACTTTCCGGCCGAAACATCGGGGTCAGAGTTTGAGACACTAGGCTCAGAAAGCAAAGAAAAATTGCCAGAGTTTAGGGCCTGGAAGGCCTGTCTTCTAGTCCCTCCCGGTTCTGCCACTAACTGTGTGAATGGGTAATTGAATTCTCTGGCCTCCGGGGTGCCCATTTTGAAGGTGGAGCTGTTGTGGGGAATAAAATGAAATGATAGATGATAGCAAGGTGTTTTGCAAGTCAAACGCAAGACATTGTCTGTCCTGGCAGCAAGGAAGGCAGACGTTGACTCTGACAGGAGACACCCTGGGCTCCCAACTGCCTTTTTTCAGTGGCAACCCCACAGCCAGTGAACTGAGCGTTTCTTTTTGGGTGGTAGAGTGGGGAGAGGATTTCAGTTGATGGACGCGGGCCTGAGACTCCAGTGTCGTCCTTCTGTTTCTCAGGAAGAGATGGCTACCCTGGAGGTTGTCCCACAGACGGTAGTGAATATGAGATTACAAGGTCAGTCAAGCCTCTTGGGAGGATTAAAGAGATACTGGTGCGTGAAGAACCCGCTGACAACGCTCGTCATCCCTTAGCCTTACTTTGGGAGTGCCTTTTTGGTTCTGTTCTACCCAGGAGACCTCTTCTGAGAATGGATGGGCTCCGGATATTTGATGGCCCAAACTGCCTTGCAGTTACAGCTGAGTGAGGAGCCCTGGCTCCCTTTGCTTGATACAAATGAACAATGTGATTGCTTATTTCATGGAGGCACCTTAGTTAACACATTTCTTTAGGTTCTGAGTTGTTTCTTATTCTCCTATAAAGCCAACTCTCTACCACTTCCCCACTGTTAATTGCAGGGTTTTGTTTTCTTTGTAGCTTTCTTGTTGGGGCCTGGATTCCCCCCCAAAGTGTCAATGGCTACATTTCTAAGTAATCTGTAAAAAAGCCAGTGCAAGTTCAGTGGCACAATGGCCTGTGTGAAGCAGACAGAGAGTTAATGCAGAAATAACTCCAGTTAACTGGGTCAAAGTATAATTTGAAAAATTAAGGACAGTTTGGCTCTTTGCAAATATAAGAGTCAGTATGTTTGCTGAGCAATACTTGCTTGTGTTTATTGCTGCAGTCCCGCAAAATGCCTTGAACCACTGTCCTCCCCCAAAATAAAAAGTTAAAGGGATAAAGAGAAATTGAATGATGAGGAGGCCTGAGGAGGGAACCCTTCTTGGTTTATATTTCTGCACAGAATACAAAGGCAGGACTTCAGGATCTTGTAAATCACAAGCGAATATTTATAAAGCGATTCATTTTGTGATATTCTCCATCACAGCCGGGGAGGCCACACAGATGACAGGAGGACCGAAAGAGATTAATTGCTCTCTCGTCCCCAACTTTGCTGTTTGCTCATAACATTAGTGGGGACCCAAGAAAAGCAAAAAAAAAAAAAATTCTAGGAGCTGTTTTTTGCCAGGTTGAGCTCTGAAGCAATGCTACTGTTCACCAAATTGCCCAACCATGGTGTAAGAAAAACTACCCTTTTGGTTTTTACGTGGGGAAACCCAAAAACTGTGGTCTCAGAAATACCTGCTGAGATCCATATGTGATTGTGATAAATTGGATTTCAGTGGTTAAAATATCCTTCTCATTTGGAGGCTTGGGGGATAAACTTATTAAAGTAGGGTCAGAGAGAACCTCACTGGGGTAGGTAGCTGTGTCACACTGTTCATGGAATGATTTGCTTCCAGGGAACCTAGTAGGTCTCAGAGGACAGTGACATTCTGAATGATTGAAGGTGGACCACAAGCTTCCAGAGGGGACCAAGACGGCCGAACCCAGGCCTTTGGAAGGCTAGCAACATGTCCTAGGAGAATTTAGTCATAGTTTAAGGAGCAGGGAGGAGGTGGAGAAGGCAGGTGGTGCTGCCAGTTCTCACCGATAGCACAAATTATTCTCTATGATCAGTTCTTTTATTTGAAATGATGGATTTCAAGTTATGCAGACAACTTCATAGCATTTAAGGTAGGAGCTGTGGATTCCACATCATGGCCCGAAGACAATTCAATTCTCTAGAATAATCATCTTGCGTTCCTTGTAACTCTTTATACCCAGTATGTAGGTCAGGCTCTACAAAAAGATGGATGAGCTTGAATCCCATCCAAGTTTAACCCAATTTTTGAAATGTGTTGCTTCTCAAATATTTAAATAGTTTCGAATCACCCATTGGAAGGGTTTTGCAAATTCTGAAGTCCGTGACAAAACTTTCTGTCTTGAAAGACTCAGAAGGGTTAAAATTAGCACCCCTTAGACTGGAAATGCAAATCTCATATTATTAAGAATTGTAATTGCTTGGATGGCTGTTCTCACGGTAGTGCAGTGTGAACACATTACCTATTTAAATCTGCCTAATTTCCCTTAGAAATGGCCCATTTGAAATTTCCATTTCACAAGGGACTTCATGTAAGAGGAGTCTCTCCGAACCATTCAGGTGTTTAATTTGCACCGTTTGCTCACTACATCTGTCTTTTCTAGCATAAGTGGCCTAACTGCAGAGCCTTATGGATCGCATATAAGACACAGGCGAAACATTGATCAACTTGTGCCTCCTCCCTGAAGGATTAGTAATAGTAGTCTTGAAGCTAAGATTAGTTAACTTTCATTTCAGAAATTGGGTCTCACGCCTATCATTTGTATCTTGTTTGGCAAAGTAGCTGTTTTGCAAGCCCCAGTTTCCCTTTTCTATCAAAGCAAATCTCTTGAGAAACCAACTCTAATTCTCCTAGAAAGGAAGATTTCAATGTTTATTTTTGTTTTCCTATGACTTGCCTCTAAGAATTGAGCCTTAGCATTGGATAGGAATGCATGTTCATCTGTTCTAATTTCTCCCCACAGCATTTGCAAGGCAGGAGAGGCAATTTCTCTCTTACACGGGAAAACAATGCTTGCAGTTTTTCTTCCTAGCAAGTTAGAAGCCTAAGCATCAGTGATCTCCCTCTTTTTCAGAGGATTTAAGTCTTTCTTCTGCTTTCTTCCCAACAGCTTGAGTACATCCGGCCCTGAAAGTTTTGAGTTACCTTTCGCAGTGGCCAAAATGAGGAAAAAGTGGAAAATGGGAGGCATGAAATGCATCTTTCCCTTGTTGCTGTTCTTTCTTTCCCTAGAAGGAAGCAAAACAGAGCAAGTAAAACGTAAGTGTCTTGAGTTTAAAGAACAAGATACTTTCTTGTAATATCTTTGAAAAATGTGATTATAATCTGTAGGGACTGTGATTTAGCCCAAGTGTGGCCATGCCATTATTTTAAGTGAAGGAAGTGAATGTCACTGGTTTATGCATGAGTTGATGAAAGAATGAGAACTTTGAATTGGGCCAACTGAATTTGGGGTTGTTTTTCTGATTATCATATAGTTTTCATCTCATAGAACACATGCCACATTAGTCTATTTTCCTTCTCCTGTTCTAAACTATACAACTCTCATTCCATTTTACGTAACTCTAGAAATATCTGACAGATGAGCTGGATTTTTTCCCAAATTTCAGACTCTTCAGCAAAGGTTTTCAGTTTATGAGAAAGAGTAACACAGAGAAGGAAAAAAACAAAAAACAAAGCAGGCCCTGCCTATTCCCTATGCCGAAAAACGAAGAAGGCAAAAACCTTTGCATGAACTGGATTCAGATGAAAAATCCTTTGAGGAAATTGGGAGTCCAGGGACCATGAGCAAACTGGATGCAATTTACTGAAAAAGAATGTCCCTGCAAAGCCAGGGAATATTTCTAGAAAGTCAGTGATCCGTGTGATGGGTTAACACATGGGAGAAAGCAGAGTGGCAGCAAGGGGGCATAATTATGTGGGAGATTTCTGAGTCCGCATTGACATTGCTGCTCCGCCATCTTTACGAAGTATGAGCCTCTCCTCTGGGCCACTTGCAGCCACCTTTGAGGTAGACACTTGCTCCAAATTTGAAGGAAAAGCCATAGCTCCAATTCCCCTTTTCTTCTATGCCAGAAGAAGCATGAAGTGGAACTGGTCCAAGAGGGGCATTCTCTGCTCTGATGAACTTACTCGTGAGGAGAAACTGTGCAGCTATTCTTGGTGGGAGCTGAAGGCAGCATATGAAGCCCATAACTTATAAACATTTCTCTCTCATCAGCTTACATTAAATATATCAGGCATGAGTCTTGGTGACAGGGAGAACAGTGCCAAACCTATTTTATCCTTACATGTGTTTGTTTATGTCCTGCTACGATTTTCATTGTAAACTTAGTCTACTTCCTGGGAGAAATGAGGCTTTTGATTAGGCTTTTAAGGGTGAGTGATCTGTGGTGATGTCTAGCATGATCGAGACACATGAGGAAGTTTAGCAGGGCAGCATATCAGCAAGGAAGCTCCGATCAGCCTCTCGCCTTGTAGTCCTCAAATAACTTCCTTCTCTTTCCACCTGAATATATAGTCATTCTCAGAGCCCTCTTCTTCAGAAGTCCTCTTTGATTTAAGTGGATGTGACAGAAAAGTCCATCTACTCTCAGTCCAGCTCACAATTAGTTGGGCTTAAAATCCTTCCTCTCTTAGGAAGAAACATTCCTATGACCTGTTACTGAGGGCTCCTGGGGGGAAGCTTGCAAGTCTTAGAAGCCTGTCTCTTCTGGGGAGTCTTCCATATTTTTGAAGAATTGAGGAGTGTCCATGCAACTTAAAGCTTAACTGACAAACCAAAGAAAAATACAATTTAAAAATTATTTAGAGACCCCAAACCATCATTTTCTAACATTTCTTGCTGCCTATGAATTTGTCTGAAGCCCTTTAGATATTCAGTTGTTGTCAAAATTATTGTTTAACAGATGGCCTAGGGCAGCAGCATTGGCCTAGTGTTGCAGGTGTATAGCCAGATAATGAGGCTAAGGTTGTGGTCATTCCCTGAATTGAGCCACTCAACATCATTCATTGTGGCCACACCCAAGCTATCTGGAAGACATGTGCAAAGTAATCTCCACTAAAGGGGAAATCTCAAAGCATATGCCTTATGTATATTGCCTTGATAGACACACACACACACACACACACACACACAAAATGCATGCATAGAGACTTGTTATAGTTCTAACAGTGAGAAGTTAGAAGCAGTGGAAATGTTAACCCATTGGAGAATGGTTAGATAAATGACCCAGGTAGTATACTATCAATGCTGCCATTAAAAACAGTATGTATTAAAAATCTGATAGCCTTAGAAAATGCTGATATTAACTTACTTTTTAATTTCCGAAATTAGAAAATTAATAATATTTATACAAAATGATATGCAAGTATCTATCTGAGCTTTATAAAGAACATGTATCCCTCAACTCCCATCCTACTCCCCAAGGGGGCAAGCATTGCTAATAGGTTGCTATGTGTTCTTCCAAACTTTTTTTCTGTTACAAAAACATACGTACATGTCTATAGGGTTTTTTCTTTGGCAAAGATGGGATATTATGTGTATTTTTTTTGTCACTTGCTTTTATTCAGTAATGTGTCTAGGATATCCTTCCATGTCAGAACATAGGAATATAACAGTGCCATATTTTTTCTAATGCCTGCATAGTTTCCAATTGCATAAGTTTATTATGCCATGATTTATTTAACTGGTCCCTATTTATAGATACTAAGGTTGTTTCCAGTTTTTGCTATTATAAGTAAGGCATTAATGAACACCTTTAGGCACTTAGGCCAGTATGTGTGAGAAATTTTTGGGACAAAGTGTATGTTCAGTTTTAATCTTGGTAGTAACTGTCAAATTGTCAAATTGACTTTCAAAAAGTTGTGTCAATTTATACTCCTATCATCTATGTAGGTGTGCCCATTTCTAATTCCTTCACCAAATCTATTATTATGATTAGTCTTTGTATCTTGGGGCCAATTTAATAGCAGAAATCATATTTCAGTTTTGCTGTGATATTTTCCTACTACTGGAGCTTATTTTCAATTATTTTTCATCCAGTTGCATTTCTTCAGAGAGTTGCCTGTTCTTTCATTTGGGTCGCTTGTCTTACTGATTTGTAGAAGCTTATTTATTAACATTTTGTTATTTCAGATGTTGTTATTAACCTTTTGCATTTCATATATTATTTTCCCAGTCTGCCATTTGCTTTAAACTTTAAGTTGTATTTTCCCATACAGAAGTTTAAAACTTTAAAAATTTTTGTGTAATCAGATCTGTCATTCACTTCCTTTGTGGCCTCTGGATTTCTTCTTATTCCTAGGAAGGTCTTTCCCACTCCATAGTCTTATATTTTCTTCTACTGCTTCTGTAATTTGCAATTTGACCCATAGTTCTCTATTCCATCTGAAATTTATGTTTGTGTGTGCTGTGTAATAGAGAACTAACTTTTTAAATCTTGGGGTGGTATGTTCATGATGGTTTGTCTTTATGTTCTGTTTATTCCAAAGTTCCAATTGTCAAGTATTACTTTTAAAACAGGGAAAAAGTTCTTTAATGTAAAAAGGATATCTTATTTCCCATATTTTACTATCAAGTTCTATAGAAGGGTAGGTATGGGAGTGAAAGAAAGAAGAATTTTTTAAAACACGGGGGAAACTTTGGAAAATGTGTACATGCAAGGGATAACCTGCATGTCTCTCCTCACTGCCTGATACCATTGTGCCCAAGGAAGCCAGGATTTTTTATCTTTCATGGGCTGGTTCATACATAAGTTTCTAGGTCAAAGTGAATGTTCTGTAGCCTGCTTGCTCTCCTGTGTTGGGCAGCAGGGTGGAATGAGGGGGTTGTCATTATGGTCAAATATGTTCACTCAGTGTAGAATCTGAAGAGTTCTGGAGAAAATGCTGTATTTGCAGAAAGCTGTTTTCACAAAGGAAGGTAGAGATGAGTGCTGCCACTTGCTAGTAGCTCATTAAGCATAGTTACCTTGCTCTCATAGGAGGGAAAACAGGCTCAGGAACCCAGGAAATGCTGCTGGTGCATTACAATGGATGAAGGAGCCATGTGTGGTTTATATAAAAGTTTGTTACTGTCCAGAATCTGCGAGGTTTGAGGTCTTTAGTTGGGAAAAGGTCTTTCTGTTCAATTCTATTATGCTGTGTTGCTAAAGCTGTAGTCAAAGAGACTAGGAAGCTCTTTTGAAGCTCAAAGGAGCATAGCATTCAGTGCCTAATATTCATGCAGATATGGGACAAATGGGCTGAAGAGTTTGTCTCTTTTGGCAGATCTAACTTAGGTAATGAACTATTGATCAATATGATATAGAAGAATTGAATTTTTAGGAATATTCAGTTATGTATTCCGAATGGATCAGCCTGTGTCAAGTCTAGCAAAGGTTCTGGGGAGAGAAATTCATGTATTACATGGAGCCCATTCCTGCTTTATAAAGTGAGTTAACTAGATCTTTCAAGGGACTAGGTTCTCACTCGTTTTTCTCCTTAGGAGAAAGGCTTCCAACATTCATATTTGGCTGAAAATAGGCCTCTGATCTTCTGACGCAGGGTGAGTCACCATGAGATTGAAGAGAAGGAAGAAGATACTTAGAAAATTTGTCACATGTGAAATAACATGGCCCTATGGAGCCTACCCAGAGCCTCTCTGTTGTGAAAGCCAACTAGAAATGCTTGAGTTTTCCTCCTCCAGATTCTGGCTTGGACATTTCAGGTGATGAGTGGACAGTAGAAAGGAGCAAGCAAAAGAGTAGACCGATTCCCATCTTAGAAATTTATGCAAGTGGAAGTAAAAAAGGGGAGAACACCTGAAAATCAAAGCTTAATGCTTTTTGAAGCACATTCCCAATTAATTTTTAGGTTGGGTATGGAGACACTGGAGTCAAGCTTAGATCCAAACCCCAGCTCCATGATTTTCCTATGTACCTTAGGAATGTTTCTCTACTTTGCCAGCTTTAGTTTTCTTATTGGTACACTGGGGAAAATAATAGCATAATGACCGTCACTGTGGTCATTTGAAGAAGAAATGAAAGTGTGTACATCCGGTGTTTTGCTGGGGCTGGCACTTAATTAGCTTTTGATAAGTGGTAGCTGTTAGAGCAAGTCTCACCAGCCAAATACTATGTCCTTAATTCTGAGATGAGAAACTTGAAACCCAATGACAAGTGATTGTTTACAAGGATAGACAGACAGTAAGGCCAAGTCAGCACCAGAACTAAAACTCAGGTCTCCAAATTCAGGGTTCAGCTTGCCTCGAGCAGTTC